AGTTTCCAAAAATACAAGATTGATCGGTCGACAGAATAAGTCTTATCAATATATAATTAAACAAAATATATCAGTAGTGTCGCGAAAATGTATAATGTTTTCTTGTCGTCATTTGACAGACTGACGATTTGGATTGACACGCTAGCTCATCCACGCGGGTATCGACACGCGCTGGATCGAAAAAAATCTCAGAGAATTATCGCGATATTCTAAAATGGGCATCGCTATGCGATATCGCTATCAGATAACTTCAAAAAGAGATGTTTTATTTTACGAGATGCACTTATTTTGATTCTACAGGGAACTGACTGTAAACGGATAAACACGCATACACATAAATTTATACGTAACGAACACTGATCCATATTGTCATTGTATAACGGGACGCTTTTCAAAATATTCGCCAGTTTTAATGCCTACGAGTGTATCGATATCGGTAGTGCTCGTAAAAAGAATCTCCCGCGGATAGTGGGAGAAGACACCGACACATTTAAAATCAAATCCAGATCAGGCGAATGAATAATCATACATGAATATCATATATCATGTGCATGTAAATATAAAATTTAAATTAAAAAGATAAAAATTCTCTTTCCATTGAATGATATGTGTGCTAAAAATGTACAAATTTTCTTTCCATTAAATGATACGTGCGCTAATAATGTACATATTTGCTTATTTATTAATCAATCCGGTTATACTGAACCATTTTTGGAAAATTCATGCGAATTTATATGGACTGGCAAAATTTTTTTTACATTTGTCCGATTTATGCTTCTGTACTTATTTTCTCTGATTGCATACTATTTTGTTTATCTCATGTCGCAAAGTTTGTCGGTATTTGGTCAAGTTTTGTATTTAAATATGGCATAAATTTTAGTCGAGATACGATCCCTGGAAAGAGCTAGCGAATTCAGTCTGTAGCCAAGTTGCCCGATGAGAATGTCACCTAATAAACGATCTCGTAAACGTCGCATCGCGAACATCGCTGGCGTCGAATTGGCTTGATACGCGCAGAAACGGTACAACCTCTTCAACCTGTCTGCGAAAACGATGCGACTGTCGCCGAAATAGATAAAGTGCTTTTTGTAATATCCCATTTGTGCTGAATTTCAAATGATTGCAAAGACCATTTTTTTATTTACAAACATAACAAATCTTTAAAAAATCTTAAAAATAACTGTATTAATGGCTATATTGCTGGAAAATATTTGTCTTTCTAGCGCATACTACGAAATTATAAATTAAATTTATATGAATAAAGCTTAATCAGAGAAAATTCGAAATCAAAATAAATTCTTTTTGTTTAGACCATGTTTTTTGCCTCTAAAATATAGAAACTTCTCCCATATGTATAATATATTAAAAAAACTAAAAGAATATTCAATAAATCTTATATATATAAATTATTGATTTATATTAATATATAAATAATCAGTTATTAATTTTCTCTAGAAACTACTTTTATTTCTCACGTATAAAAAGTACAATTGCGTCACTTAATAAGAAAAATATTTGGAATTTACATATAATAATACATAATTAATCTCAATTTAGATGGCTATATGTGGATTAAAAATACTTTTTATTTAAAGATACTTTAAAAATTTCATACATACACAGACACAAACTGCACGCATGCCGGCTCATACGCGCACATATACGCACGCACGCATGCACGCGTACATCATCAATACATACATACATACATACATACATATATATATCATATATACATATATATATATATATATATATATATATATATATTGTATAATTCATTTATCTAATAATTATGAATGTCATGATACCATCACGAAGTAAAAGTAATTCATGTCGTATAAATTTCTACGCAAATGCAATTCAACAAAAACCAGCATTGCATCGTTGGGAGACTGCTGTCTTACTTTGGAATGCCTCAGTCTTGGTGAAAATGAGAGTCGGCGCCATAATCGTAAACCAAAGTACATGCAACGCGCTAACGAAAAGCCCATAAGTACGGCTATATCCTTCCATCCAGTAGGAGAAGCGCGTCGGAAAACAAAAAGAAGAGAGAAAATGTAGGAAAAAAAACTCGCGGCTAGTCCCTCGTTAATATTTGATCCACGGGGCGAGTTCGCCAGAACGACAGACCGCCGCTGGTAAATTGGGCGTTGGTGCACTTTTAATTGACAGAAATGTTTAGCGATAATGAACGCGCGCCGATTGGTAGGAGCCAGGGATAAGTCGAGAGCGTATGCCGACAGTAGTGGCTTCGACGACGACGACAACGACGATAACAACGACAACGACAACAGGAGAGAAACAGCGCAGCGCCAGAGCCACGACTAGATAGAGACGCGGCAGCAGGAGCATAAACATCCTCGGCCCCCGGTGGTGGCCGCGAGGACGACAGCGGTGGCGGCAGCAACAGCGGCAGCAACGGCGGGGGTGCAGCGCGCACGTTCTGCACCGTGGGCGTAGCCATTCTGTTCCTACCACGGCGGCAAGGATGTTCTATGACGCTATAGATCATGCGGGCTCCGCCCGATGGGCGGGATGTGTCCGCCAGTTGGTACAGTTTATCCCGCAGAGCTGCCAATGTTGCCAGCGCCTCCACCGGTGCTTGCTTAAACGAGCTTCGTTGAGTTCAGAGAACGCGGGATGATCATCGAGTTCTTTGGAATTATATTTTCGGGAAAACATCTCTTAGAAAACTGAGATTCGGAAAGATTTGGAGAAAGAAACGAGTCTGAGAAAGCAAGCGATAAGAAAGAAGAAAGTGATATAATTCAAGAGTAAATAACAAAGATTCTTCCTTTAAAAATTCCTTAAAAAGTATCAATAAATATATATCTCATGAAAAAATATTGAGAATAATTATATATTTGTATCATTTTGTGTGATTTTGTTGTAAACTTTATGATAACTTTTCGATAATGATAACACCTATTATATATGTGACATGATGATATTTAAATTATTTAATAAGTTATAAATTATAAATATGAAGGTTTTGTAAAATTATATAAAACATTTTCCGTGAAAATTGTATTCCAATAGCACACATGTTCAAAAGACGTCCAGAAGGTATTCAGAGGACTTCCAGAGGACAGCCAGAGGATATTTTATGTCCTTTGGATGACTCCTGGACATTTTGTGAACATGTGTGCTGTTAATAGAATAATTTTGCGATTTACTGATTTATTTGTTAATAATCAACTATCGATATTTTGTCTAACGTAAGCAAATATAATTTTATTCGGGATATTAAAAGTACATTAATGCATTCGTTGTGAAGTATATGCATAATTTAAAAAAAGCGTTCAGAAAACTTAATGTCGTTGACAATGTAATAGCGAGTACTAACTTAATTTCCAATGTTTCGCATACAATGTAAAAATAGTTCTCTATATCTTTCTCTCTCAACTCTTTAGTTTCTTACTATACGCGCGTATATCTTAACACGCAGTCCGCCTTACTTTGTATCAACTACGTTAACACATTATATTTTCTACTGTATTAATATTTAAATATGCTCGATAAAAAAGAGAAAAGAAGCAAGAGAGAGAGAGAGAGAGAGAGTGAGAGTATGAAAATGAGTAAGCGAAAAAGAGAAGAAAACAGGGAAGGAAAAAGAGAGAGAGAGAAAGAAAAAACGTGTTGTGAAATACAATTTACGTACGTAAACATAATCTAGCCAAGAAAGAGCGTCAGCAACTTCAATACAGTCAACTTTATAGCTTTATACAGCTATTGTGCAGTTTTGAGGTTAAGTTTCAAAATACTCTGAATACGCTCGACAAATCAATTTCTCAGCTTACCTATCAAATTACAATCTTAGTTTGCCAACAAACGATACTGATCAAGTACTCACCCCGACTAGCAGTAGCCTTGGACGCGATTCCCTTAGCGAAAACCCCGAGAAATTCCTAGGTGTGGCTCCGCGTCGCCGTAGTACCGTAGCTCGTGCGCAACAGCGCCTCCCGTGGCAATAGTCAGAACTAGCCCTATACAGCGACAGAGTTACCACTACAGAGCGACATCTCCCCGTGCACCTCCCTAGCGGGCCGACAGAATCGAGGACCCCGCCTCCTTTTCCGACCTCCCCCAGTGCGCGCGAATGCATCTATAGCTCTCGTAGATCCGTGACGAACCTCTCGATCTAGTCGGCTTCTTTTTTATTCGGTATACCTTGCGTAGACCCATTAAAAACTCTAAAAACTTGTAGTTGTAGAAGAAGCAAGAAAAATGGAAAGAATTTGTGACGACGGAGAACGCGTGGGTGCCACGTCGCGGCCACGTTGCGTCGAGGAGCGCATCCACCAGCATTTGGTGCATTCGCAGACGAGAGTGGCTGGCCTTTGCGCCGTCGCTGGTGCGGCGAACCCCTCACGTCGCGTTACATCGCATCGCATCGCTTCGCATCGCATCGCATCGCATCGCGTCGCGTCGCATCGCGTCGCGTCGTGTCGCGTCGCATCGCGTCGCGTCACATTGCGATGCGCGTGTGTGGGTAAACTGAGAGAACGATAGAGAACAAGGAGGCGCACGATCCCTCCTCTCCTACGATCTCGCTCATTCACTCGGTACACTTCGCGATCCCTTCCATGCCTTCCCTTCCCTTCCCCACTTTCTCGTGGCCTCGCAGCCTCATCGTTCGCGGGCCGCGCGCCGTGGACGCGATCGCGGCCGCGGAGGAGAGAAAGAACGAGGGTGGCGAGAAGGAGAGATCGAACGAGCGCAAGTGAGACCAGCAAAGAAGAACGGACGAGCGAGGAAACGAGAACGGTCGGTGGAGGAGGGAAAGAGGACTAGTACTACTCCTGGGGTCCCCCCACCACACGACCTGCCGCCGCGACGCCAGTCCGTAGTCAGTCAGCGCTGGACCGCCGCCCGCTCGATTTCGCGATCCACGAACGACGGTAGCCATTACCTCCATCTCCTCTCCGTTTCTTTTCCGTCTATCTCCCAATCTTTCTGTCTCTCCCCTCTCCCTCTCCCTCTCCTTCTCTCTCTCTCTCTCTCTCTCACACACTTACTCTCTCTCACTCTTACTCTTTAGCTTTCTTTCCAACACGTTTCTTTCTTTCGTTCTTTTTCATCCATCTGCTTTTGCCATCACGTTTTCGTTTGCATTCTACATATCTATCGCGAGCGTTCTCTCTTGCTTGCTTTATCGTTGGCTATTTGGTCATCTCTTCCTACCTTTCTCTTTTTTGTTTTTCATTGAAGTTCTTTTGATATTCACATATGTCGCGAGGCATCGTGCGCGCGTCGCAAATCATACGTCGTGGAAAGAGATTTATCGCGCAATATTATCGGGATCCGCCGATCCATCCATAAGATAGTAGTTGGCGCGATCCCGATAGCCGTCATCGAAGACGAGCATCGTGTATTTATATCAGTGTGAACGGCAACCGCTCGGGAAAGTGACAAGAGTGAGACTAATGATTGCTTGCAGGGAAAAGTGGTGAACCAGGGGTTGATGCACGATACGAGGTTTCGGTGTAGGTCGATTCAGTATCATCAAGATTGAGGATTATCTATTCGAATTCAGTGTAATAACACCGGCAAAGCATGTAGACAATAATACAAAAAGTATTAATATTCACCCGCCAATATTCACGTCGCCGCAAATCGTCAGTTTCGATTGTTTTGCAATGACGAATATGAATGTGCTTGCATAAATGAGACAATCTTACGTTCTCAGTCGTACTCTCAAAGATTTATGTGACGAATGTGTTATTATTTCATTTTGTCATCGACTCCAAGTGCATAGGTGCCATGAACTCCGAATAGAATGACGACGATCGTGACAAATGCATTACTGATGACAAGCGGATTGTTGGCGAGCACGATGAGGTAGTGATTATCGGGACACGTGCCGATTGGATAACTGCAAGTTGTAACGGAAAAGAAAGTAGACACTATCCCAGATAGAGTCCTGGGGGAAGATATTTCAAGGATACTGTTCGATGTTTTCGATCGCTTGACTTTTCGGGGACCAACTAATTGCAGTCAAGGCAAAGAGAACTGGAGACCGCACGGATATCCGAACATTTCCGAAGTACGCAGATGCCCCGAAGGAAACAGCACGCACCGCAACGTATGAAATGTGAGTCGACAAGAATTAACTCAAGTTTAGCGGCGACGGTGAAACGCGAAAGTTTGTCGATTGATGAGAAGCGATCGAACAAGCGGCAAAGTTTTCCCGAATTTTTCTCCCCGAGTTGATCGAAAAACTATACTTTTTTGCCAACCGAAAGACTCATTAATCATCTAAATTTTTAATTTATATATATATATATATGTATTTTTCATATTTTTTTACGGAAAAATAACTGAAACAAGTTAATGTTGTGACTTCGATCGAGAGGCTGGCGTTCCACCGTCGCTGATTCGTCAACAAACTCGCGGAGCCACGTGGAATGCCACGTGGAATGCGGCCTGATTTCGGTCGCAATCGTGCTGAATTTTATATACGGGATTATTCGTTTATTTTCTCCCGACACGATCTATGCTATGCTTGAGAGTTGACGCGTATGCAAATTCAATCGATCAATGAAACGGCAAGTTTGATTCGACTATTACTCAACTATCGTCACCAGGAGCCGGGATAAACCTCGATGAATACCGCAACGATTTACTGCATTTCTGTAGCGCGTATTTATAGATTAATTAAAATGTAGAAAATGTCTAGGCGATCGTAAGAGAGTTTTAGTAAAGTTGTGGAGTGTCTTTTACTATCAGTCTTTTAACGTTCACGCATTCTTTGCTACCGGAATTTCCCAGTTATATCATTATACCACTGTCGTACACTGTGGATTATTACGTAAAAAACTTTTAATATGAGATTTAAACAAACACAGAGAATGCTTTTTTTGATAAAACGAAATTTGCATCTTGTCAATACACATTCAATGTAAAAAATTTGGAATATTTGATTTTACTTTTCTAAACTATTATTCTTTCTCTCTCTTTGATATAGTTTTCCTAAATTTTTTATAAAAATATGTCAACATGATGACATAATCGCATGTGTATAGCAATTGAATAATTTAAGTATAAAATATAGACATGTATATGTGACGCATTAATATGCAAGTTCATAAAACTAGATTTTTAGGATATATTTAAAGTAGAAATTATATTGAATTATTAACAAAATTTCTGAGACATTATTTTTGCAGATTTTATAATCTTATGCGACACATGTAAAAAAAATACAATTTCAGAAAAATAAAATTATTATATTGCTTGACGAGATTAATATAATAATCATATTGTTTTTTTTATATTAAATGTACCAATTTTTCGCAGAGAATTAAATACCAAAAAAGAGGAAGAGAATTATTAATATATATTTATTATTATATATATTTTTAGATAAAAAGTATTTATTTTAATTTTATATATATATATATATATATATATATATATATATATAATCGTTTCTAATTATAACCTTTTTTCATAAGATTTGTAAATTTTAATGTGTTAAATGAAGCTGCTATTTTATTAGAAAATAAATAATTGAATAAGTTTCTCTATTACTTTATAATATAATTTATAACCTTTTTTTCTCATTTCTCTTTCTTTCTCTTTCTCTCTCTAACACATTGATTATTCTAATAAAGTTACTTATAGTTAATAAAATTGAAGAAAAGCGTGCTAAAATAGCTCGAATGTTCTTTGATTTGTACATTCTTTAAGAAAATAATACATAAAATATTTGCACTAATTTTTCGCGGTATATTAAAAAATGTATTTTTCTTTTTGCAAATATTCTATGTATTACTTTCTTAAAAAACATAACATTTAAAGAATATTAAGGTTTTTTAGCGCGCCTCAATTTTCTCAAGCTTTACTAGTTATCGGCAATTACATATATGTACAAAAACCGTTCTTATACTCCGCTTGAAAATTGAAAATGAATAAAAAGTCATGCAACGCGTTCGCAGAATTAATCGAGCTTCTTTACTTTAATACGTTTAACCATTTTTAAAGAAAAGACTGAAATTGATCTATCTGTATCTGCGTTGGGTAAGATCGAAGATGAACCGAAGCCGAACACGCCATTACGTTGAATCTCCCGACAGATGGGCAGAACAGTCGAGAGGCCGCGTTCAGGCCGAGGCGATTTGTGCGTTTGAGGCCGTGACGCGCGCCATGCTGCCTTTCCCACGTGGGGAGTCATGAGGCGTAAACAAACTCGCCCCCGGTAGTGAAGGGAAGCCATCTTGGTGAAGTTCTCTGCCGGAAACATTTACAATTCACTCAACTTACCTTACCGAAACTCGGCCAAGCGCCGATAAATCTGGTGCGCGGGAGACGCGGATATCTCGCGCACATACCTCGGTGCGATATCCCGTATAAATTTGCGGCGGTACACGGATTTTCATTGCTATGGTTTTTCGCTGACTCCTTTAATAAGCATCGAGTAATTTCTCGTCAAAGTATGAACATTATATAATTAATTACTGAAAGTCGGTTTCAAAGGAAATCTATTGCTCATTTGGGGTAGATATTATTTTGAATATTTTTAATCTGATTAAAATATATGCTTAAATATATGCTATATGTATATGTTATATTTCTTCTTCCTATACTCTTTTTTTCATAATCACTTTGAGAATTTTTTAATAAGTTTTATATACATGTGCATTGATTCTCTCTTTCTCTTTTTCTTTACCTTTTTCTTTTTTCTCATTACTGTCATATTACATCGAAAAATATAAGAATATTAATTTTTTTAAATGTGGAAAAATAAAACTATTAAAATTATTTTGTTCCGACGAAATAATATGTATATATGTAATAATTATAAACTATTATAAACGCACGTATCTGTAAATAATTAAAAGATATATATGTTTCAAAATTGTGAGAACCACTAATGAAAACTTATGATATTTAATCTATAAATCAGTATATTTTATATAATCAATATGCATTAATGCATTATATTATCTTTTTTAAATATAACTATGTGCTGATTATTACACGGTACATTGATTTGACAAATACATCTCCTTCAAAATCAAATGGATTTTCATCATTATTTAGTAATTATTTTTCAATATAAGTATGTAATTACAACAAAGGTTCATTTTCACGTATTTATATATTATATAAATAATCATATTTTAAAATTCTACGAGTTGCTAATCAACATATTATATGGAACCGGAAACGAAAGTTTCTAACCATGCGAAACATGATGAAGCCATCAGCGAAAGTAAACGTGTGAGGGATAAGAAACAACAAAATATAGCCTGCAGGACGCGACTAATTTCTCCGTTTAATTTATGATATTCTGGTGAAAGGATCTATAAAATACCATAATTTCTATGACTCGATCTATCGACTATCGATCGTATGATCATATTGTGCTGTCAATAGGCTTAAGCCTGCAATTTAATTAGCAGTATATTATGGAGGAACGATCATCGTACTCTTACTGTTGTTTTAACTCGTGTGGCCAAAAATAACATGGTAAAATTTCCTGTTATTTCATTTAAATAAAACTAACAATAAATATATATTACGACCGTGATATATTGTTATTATAGTGTAGTAGTAGTGTAGCATTGTTATTATAATATAGTAATGCACTGTAACGGTAAAAATTTACAATTCAATATAAGCACATTTTTGTATTTATCTTTTGTAATGGATTTACGCGGAAGAATAACTATAGTTTCTTTCCTTTCCTTTTCTTTCCCTTTTTAGAAGCCCATAGGAAAAAATTAAGCATTCTCGGAGAAAATCCGAGAAGCTACAGGTAAATTCTCGTCTATAGATTTATGAATTCCATAAATACCGATCCTTTTAGATCGCAAAATATACTCTTGGACAATATTAACGCATAATTTTTTTTTCATTTTTTCTTTAAAAGCTGACATTTAAATTTTAACGTAAAATTTTAAAGAAAAAGTGAAAAAAAATTATGCGTTAATTTTGTCCAGAAATATATTATCAGTGATGCAAATATTATTTGCAAAAACACAGTTTGCTAATAATAACTGATGAAAAATGGCTATTTTCTCTCTTTAAAGACTATTTATTACTTTTTATTATTTTTTCTAATTTCCTCCTTGCAACTATTATATTATTTTATATAAGAGTGGAGATACTTTTTATCAATGATTTTCCGGTAGATATAATAACTATTTTAATCAAATCATTATAAAATTTCTTGAATAAAATGTCTTGAGCCGTTTTAATAAAATTTAATTTATAAAAAATAGCAATTTTTATATAATTGCAAATTTGTATATATCATAATATTAATTACTTAACATTAATATTATTAGTAATCAATTATATATATAATTTATAGCTGTGAATTTTTTGCGATTCCTCGAAATTAAGATTCCTTATCAATCTTAGAAATTTTTAACATTTTCTAAGTTTTGTGTCTGCCAAGTCTTTTAGTGATAGAGATATACAACATTTACTAACATTCAATGCAACAGGTGTAGCTTCGATGCATCCTTCGGGCCATAATCGAAATTTACATTATAAGTCATGCTTTTATTGATTGCTGCCTAAAAAATATCGTATCTTGCCGATTCTCGAAAATAATATAATATATGAAAAATGTGGACAATGTTTGTTAAGATTTTATTCTTTTTTTTCCATGTCTCTGTCGAATGCGACATTAAAATTATCAATTTCACGGTAAATTTCGAAAAAAAAGTTATTGGAAGATACCAATTGTAAGTAGCCTTCTTTTGCGATCTCTTCGTCTCAGTCTTATTAATAAAAAAATGAAGTATATTCTTGCATATCCACGCACTTGCATTGTTCTCGGACAATTTCAACGTATACGAAATTACAAAATTGAAGACAGCGACGAAAATTGCTTACAATGTATAGCAAAATGGAGATAAAATAGAGATGATTGATTTTCCGACATGCCGTATTTATTAAATATATTAAAGCTCTGGGATTTCAATTATATTTAAAGCGTCTCGTCGCCACTATTATTCTTTATTTCGTTCTCTTCTTTTTCTCTCTCTTTTTCTCACAAAGCAAAACAATTGATTTTCGACTATTCCTGAAAAAGCAACATTACATCGGATTTAAAAGACCTACGAGACGTATCGATCT